ATGGACACACATGTACACCGGCCCCCCAGTTTCCCAAACAGAGACACACACACAAATGTTTTAGAATAATTCAAAGACACACAGATAACACAGACATACAAAATGTAGTTTAATATGCCATTAATGAGCAATCAAAGTGTGGAGACACACACACACACCTAGCAAGGAGTTCAGTCTGTGTAATTAATGGTAGGATATAAAAGGTGGTATGAGTGGCTGCTCTCAGCCACCTATAGCAGCGAAACCACTGTGCTTTTTCTTGGCCCTGCCGAGCGTTCCCTCCTCAAATCCAAACCCATTCCAGCTCGTGGTCCTCTCTAATTTCACCCAAAGCAGCAGAAGCTTGAGCTGAAAAAGAGCAATCTGGCCCCCAAGTCCAGCAAACTATTCCCTTTTCCTGTCTCCCTCCTTTTCCAGCGACCACAGATCGACAGCTCCATGGCCAGCACTGGCCCAAAACTATGAGGGGTATTTTCAGCACTGTAATTTGAAGAACACATGGCGCACACACACACACACACACACACACACACACACATACACACACACATAATGATTCAATGAGACAGGAGAGGAGACACAGATGCCCGCTAAGGCACGTGTCCTTACATCCACAAAGCACCTCGTCCAATGAGGATCAGGTCAGCAAATGTGCCTGTTCACACAGTGTGCTGAGTAGTCATGTAGCCCAGAGCAGGAAAGCAGGGCGGAGGCCTAGCTACATAAAGATGTGAAAGAAACTCATCTGAAAACAAGGAGGCCAGTATAGGGATGGCAGGGAGGGCAGAACCCAGAACAGCCAGCTTTAACGTTATATATAATGTTTATCTTTGGTGACTGATGATTCACCACTTTGCTATCCTTACAGTGCGTGTGATTTAGGTTTTGACTTGACTTGATATACTTGTGCTTTTGTTTCTACTCCTTTTCACTTTTTCATGAAGCTTGCACGTAAGTGGCCCATCAGATGCCCATCAGCTGGTGGTTGATTTAATATTTAAAAACTATTTGTAAGTCTTCGCCAAGAGATGTGTCTGAAGATATATAAAACACATTAGCGCAAATGTTTGTTATAGTGCCCTTTTACTGTACACACTGGAGGGTGGGGGGGGGTGAGGTCAAGGAAAACAGAAAAATAGACAACAAAACAAAATTCAATTTTGAAATTCAGTCTGCTCTTCAGCAGTGGGACAGGGAGAGAAAGGACGCCACATGTACAGACACGCACTATACCCATGTGTGCCAACTACCTAAATACAACCGTCTGTATGCTTGTGCACGTCCATACACACTTGCACTGATTACAGATGCAGTATATGCTGCTGCTCCTGTCCAAGACCTTAATTACCCTGCACAGTCTTATTTCCCATAAATACAGCGAGGGCAGGGCAGTAATTACGGCCTATATTTACTCCACCTGGCTAGGGGAGAACCCAGTTTCCTGCTGGCCACAGTGATGAGCCAGCCCCTCTCAACATGGATGCCATGGGTGGAACAAGGACAACAGTGGGCACATGTGAGCTGTGGCCCAGCTCAGGGGCTGGATCCTTTAGAAGCATAGGGGGCATATAGGTACACCTCCTTCCCAAATAAGATGGACTAGACTCACAGAGATGAACTGTGCATTCAGGTGTACCAACTCAGCTTGTAAAGTAAAACACTTTTAAGTTTATCAGCAGGCAGCTCTTCCATAACAGCCAATAAAGTGTAAATAATGGTGGCGTGGCACCAATTTCCTGTTTACAGTGCACATTTTGATCCTTTCTTTCTTCATATGATGAAGAACTGGCAAAGAGTGTACAAACTTTTATTTATCTGGTCTTGCTAAAGGCAATGGATAACCACTTACATAATAGCAAATATGTAATATGCAGGGGTGAGGAAAAATGGTATTTCCAGACTTTTTGGTTGACAAGCCACAACAAACAAACAAACAAACAAACAACTAATTGGTATACCCTGGATTTTGGGATACAATGGATGATGGCTGCAAATGATTCACCGGTTGGGTCCTCCATCTCTGGAAAAAAAGAGGGCTGCTGTCTTCCTTTTGGAGGAGACATTAAATTATAATTTGAAGTTCACCGGGGATTGGGCTGATACAAATGAATTGTGCCATTCTCTTGGGTACACTATTGGCCGTACAGGAAAAGCATGGCAAAAAACAAACAAATAAATAGCGTACATTACATGTCAAAGTGCATCAGTGCCTTTTGTCTCTGATCTGGTTGGTTTCAATGCACACATCCCTCTTTGTTTGTGTATTACAGGGAAATACAAACTCTTGCCTATTACGTCCAAAAAAGTAAGAAATTTATTATGCTTCACTGCAGCTTTCGTGAGATATCCTTACCCAGAAATCTTTCAGAGAGGAGTTGTGGCTTCTCTTGATGAGGACAACTGACTAGCTCTCATGTAAGACGCCAAACAGACCTCCCAGTGAGGTTACAGATTCAAATAGCTTGGACACTTCCCTGCCCATCTCCTTTTACTTTGCGGCCAGACTGGCTTTTCCCTGCCATCACATCACATATACAACAACAAACTGATCGAAATGCAAACTGGAAAAAGTGGCAATGCTTCACTGTGCCCTCGCTTTAGGCACAAACAAATCATTCTGTGAAATCTCCTTGTAACCACTGATACAATGTGAAGTGTTGAGTTTTTTGTGCAGAAATTAGAGCTTCACACTTCTTCTTTGCATCCCAATTGCTGGCCTCATCGTGTTTCAGTGTGTTTAGGATTCATCACCCGCACGCTTTAAACCCTCCTTCAGCAGATGGGGTGTTAATAGGAGTGGCGGTGGCTCTCCCATTCTCAAGAGAGAGAGTCACACATCTGAAAGCTGTCAGGGTCAGACTCTGCCCACTCTGCTTTCAGAGGACTTTCAGATAGATAGGCAGAAAGAACAAGAAAGCAAGAGAACGCAAAACCAAATAGGGAAGAGCAACTCTCCAATGACTTTGATCTGGGTCCTAACTCTTCTTTGGTTTGAGGTGGTTGAAGCCATGTGCAGAGGAGGACAGAATGCTGACTCAGGCCTCTTCACTCCTTGGTCCTCCTCCTCTTCATGGCAGTGAGATGAATCCAGGATTCATCTTGATTAATGAGAGAGTGGGAAAGAAAGAGAGAACACAGAGAAACTAGTAGACTTGGCTCAACAGTCTCTCTGTGTCTTGGTGGCCCAGCGGTCTAAAGCAACCTTTTTTACACCGCAGACCATATGATTTCATCACGGCCCCCATACCAGTTTACCAGTGTTCAGAAGTAGCAATACAACAATGTAAAAATACTGTTACAAGTAAAAGTCCTGCATTAAAAATAGTGTTCAAGTAAAAAGTGCACATATTCTAACAACATTGAACGTTAAGTATGTAAGTAAATACTTACAGGTAAAGTACAAATATCTCAATATGGTACAGTAAAGGTCAAAAATTGGTTTGAAGCGCAGACCAAAAAGCTAAAACTTAAAACATATTGCTGGGTTCCGATCTGCCTTAAGACCTTTGAGTCTTTTTCTCCCTCCCATACGGTCTGTTGCTACTTGACACCGCCAACTATCTAATGAAGTCAAAAATGCCATTGACTTGACTGGAATGTCCCAGCAGCACATCCCCGCCACCAGTAACCACTGGACTCTTACTGGAGACGCTGAGACAGACAGACAGACTCTACCCAACACTGATTCAATCTAAACTAATGAGACCCTTCAGCTGCACCAAGTGATTTACATCAATTTTCAGTGCAATTATATTTGAATTACATGAATTTGTTTAACAGAGTTTGCGGAGTGGCCAAGGACCTGGAATAGTATTTATTCGGGCAATCCAGAGTGCTGCTGAAAAGCTGATGCCCGCAATGGCAAAACTTCAAACAGGCTGGTGAAAAGAAGTGCGTTAAAGGGACTTCAACACCGACACACCTGATGTAAACATCCAGGTTCAAACACTGGAGGGGAGCCAGCGGACTCAGCTCATGTTACAAATTCAAACACAGACACGCATGCACCATACTCGCACCCTGCGTTGTGAAGGCAGACAGTTGCAAGCGTGCCACAAAGAAAATAATCCATGTGTACTTTTTTTACTTGCTCTCTCACTCCCCATCAGAGTCAATGACATCACATACCTCTGAAACAGTAGGCCTTTCACGAAGGTGTCAAAACACATACAACACACGGGGGAGCACATACGCGTGCAATCTTATGCAGAGACAAAGACCCATTAGTGCACAAATATGCAGTCATCTCCCTGCTGACTGCCATACAGGGTGATGTGCCTTAGGTATTTTTGTAGTCTCGCATTTAATCTGCTTCGGCATGTAGTGTAGTGTCACAGGATTACTCATATTTACAAATGAAAGAGCCCGTGGCCTGAGGCAGACCGAGCATCTCAGAAATTAAAAAACGCCCTGGGAGGTCAGCCACTTAAAAGTGTCAGAATATGCCCTACATTGACCGGCCTCTCGCAACCCTCGCAGCACCCTCTCAACATCTTCATCTTCCCTCAAATACACAATATGCTCTACCACTCCACTTCCTCATTGGTTGTGACTTAGTCCTATTGGCTGAGAGATTTCCAATAATTTAGGAAGGAGTGGTGTGAGTGGAGAGGGTCATGGTCGTACTAGTTTAGTGCGGGATGGGTACCCGTGGGAAGAGGACTGTAGCTTGTTTAGCACATCCATAAATCAATAGTAGATGAATCACTGAGAGTGGCCAGTGGTGAGCTCACTGGGTTACTGTCAACATGTTTATCACTAGATGTAGTGCGGAGTAAAGAAAACATTTATAGTAAATGGCAGAGGAGTGACAGGCGCCAGAGCTATTTTTACCCATATCTAACTTCCCATTGTTTGCCTTAAATAGAGCAACATAAAGTTCTGTGTGTACTAAATAAAAGGGTTTTCTAAGCTGGATAGCTGCATTTGATTTCCGTGTTTTCAAAGAGCAGTTGTCAGGTGTTTTGGCAGTGTGTTGAGGGCTTTATTAGGGGACTTACCTGAACAGGTGTCAGCTGGGCTCTGGGGTCGAACACCCGCAGCATCTTGTCCTAGACGGACGGGGGGAAAAAAAGGACAAACTTTACTTTTCTATATGGCTATTAGTTGACACCTTGGTTTCATTCTCAGTGCAAAACTACACTCAGTTGCCAGTTCAATGGGTACACCTAGATAAAACCAATGCAGTTATGCAATAAATCCTACCTTCATGAAGGTTATAATGTTCAGACTTTGTTGCTCATTTAAGGATGTAGTTTGTATAATGTGATACAGTTCAACCGCAGCACAGAGAGGACTTTCTGTTATTTATCCTACTCTCACTGATATAATTTAAGTGGAAAAAATAATAGTAACAACTATCAGTATAATTTCAGCCTGTGTTTAACCGTGAATTTTGTATAATTATGACGTGCAAGGGAGGTCAAAGACCATGTGCTAGGTCAAGACTTAAAGTTCTCACAAAGAAAGGGCGGAGGAATTAAATATTCTATTTTCATAGAAACTATGAACTGAAATACAAACGCTACATATTAAAACCATTAATAATGAGTCCCTCCACCTCAGCATAATTCAAATAAAGAATAACAAGCTCTCTGAAGTTTCCTTAATTTATCAGTGCGATCTGACTGATTCATCGTCCGCAAATGCAATCCAGTGACCTCTCCACAGCCTCATGTGCCTCGACACCGGCCAGCCCAAACACACATGAGGCATCAATCACAGCAGCCCATCAGAGAGGCTCCTGAGTGATTGAGAGGAAATGGGGCCTAATGGGAGCAGGCTGTGACTGGGACATCTGCGTCTGCAGCCGTGTCACTCAATACCGGTGTGAGACTGTGATCACAGCAGACATACAGGGCTGATAGCAGGTAATAAGTATAAGGACTTAGACTAAACCATGCACACATATACATGTCAAAGGGAATCAGGAGACTGACAATAACACAGTCAAGCACACACACAGGGGCACCATGCAACATTCAGCCGCAGACAACATACAGCATCTCCACTGCTGAAGCAAACGATCAGCGTGAACTTAAAGCTTCTCTTCATCCTGCTCTCCTCAGAAATCCAAGAGGGGATTTATTTGCTGTTTATTAGCTTGAACAGCAAACGAGGGTGGGGTCCCTAATCTGACCTTTCCCTATGTGCCTCTCTCTCTCTATGTGTGTGTTTGTCTAGCCCACCCACGAATATGATGCCCCAAGGCCACATCTTCAGGCCTCTGTGACATGGGCCTACGCCAAAGGCTCAGGGAGAAGTGCCTGAACAACAACAACCCCCCCCCCCCCCCCTCCTCACCTTACAGAAGCTGTACTAAGCTGATTTTGGCATTCTTACTTATAAGATGATTAAAACCAATATTCAATTATCAAAACAGTTGCCGGTCTACTCGATTAATGTACAATCCTATTCAAGCTGCTTAATATTTTACCAGCAACAGAGTTCCCTGTCCTCGCAAACGCACCTTAGAATAACCACATATCTCCTGTACATTTAGACAAAAATATATTTGACAAATTAACTTCACTCACTGCCATATCAACCTACGTGCTGTTGTGCAAACAACAACATGAGGGAGGAAACTATCTGGCAGTGCAAACACATAGATGAGGGGCTACTCACAACCACACACACTCAGACAAGCAAATACACTCTCTTAAGCCTATGAGAATAACCCATATAAACGCACATACACCACCTCAACTCATAAATGCACAGATGGAGGGCCAGGAGAGCTGTGTGTGTGTGTATATTTGTGTGTGTGTAAATTTGTGTGCGTGTATGTGCTGAGACAGCAGCTGTTTAATCAAAGTGGCGGACCCTCACTCTCAAGCTGCTGCTAATGACTTTTCACTGTGAGTCTACAGCACACAACTTTCACATTACAAACACACATGGGCGCTGAGAATCTTCAACCAGAGGTGCGCTCTCGCTTTCTCTTCACCAGTCAACAAACACACTGCGCTGCCAGCCTCTCGTTCCCAGTCTCCCACGGTTACAGGTGTCACAGCCTGTTGTGACTGGTAGTCTGACGCTGCACAACCCCCTTCATCCAGCTCATTCTTTTCACCACTGGAAATACGGTGTCGAGCTCAGTTATAATGCGAATGCAAAAAATTCAAGGTGGACTGCTGACCATAAATCCAGTGACACCTCATTTCAAAGCAGCATACCACCCTGTCCCGTCCATCAGTTGGATAAACACAGGCTTTGCCCTCCCTCTCTGCTCGTGCTACCTGTGGACTTGCCTCCCCTAAAATGAATGGCACCTTTCTCCCTCCAAGTGTGTCATAAATATACATCTCTCTAGGTCCAAACGAGGCCTGTCATGATTTCTGCTCTTTATGGTGGTGTTCTCCCCTTCATCTCACCCCCTCAGCCCTGTGCCCCAATGTTTACCCTACGGGAGGGACAGGGGGGATTGAACCCACATGTTGGCAGGCCCTATTTGCTTTAATAAGTTGGATTGGAGAGATGGAAAGGGGCCTTTCAGGTTAAATGACACCAGAGCCCAACAGGGCAAGAACCTCAGAGCCCCCCCCCCCACCCCGACTCTGATCTTGACTCACATCCCCACCCCACCCCCGCTCCCTTTCTTTTTAGGTGCCATGTTATTTTCTTAGGCTACATTGGTAGGGGTGGTAGCTCTGGTGAGGTTGATTATTCTGTCAAAGCAAATGTCACGATTGGGATGTAGCCTGTGATGGGCTGGAGTAATTTGTTACTTGTCAGAGCAAAGGCAAACAACAGAGATTGGACTGACAGTCATACCTTTTAAGTAGACGCATATGGTAGATTTTTGTGTCAAAGTTTATTCTGTCTCAAGCACAATTAAACCTACCATGCATTGTCTTAAGTATAAACCAAGGGCCTCTGCCTCATTTTCACATCAATCAGTATGTGTGTTAGGTGCAAATAGATAGAGAAATTCACTGTGGAGCCCCTCCACCTCTAGCTCTTCCTATAACTCAAATTTATTTATGAAACAATCTACGTCAACTCATAAATTCCCCTTCTCATAAACCCATACCACCTCCCTCCTTCCTCCTCCTAAACAAAATATTAACAACCTAATGGAAAGCCCTTGAAGCTGTGCGATTATTTCCTGATGATACTGATGAGAACAGGGCCATATGGATGCATAAACACCCAGGGAGACTTTCTTCTTAGCTTTTCCCTGTACCCCACATAACTACTGTACATGTCAAAAAGAGTGAAGGTCAGCAGTTCGCACTTAGACTTAAAGTCACGCAAGAAGACAGGAGGGTTCAAAGCATACAGGGGTGTGTGCTTGGGGATACAGAAGTTTCAGGGCTCCGGTGGGGTCAAGACAAAAAAAAAGCCCCCATAGATTTATCCTTCACACACACACACACACACACACACACACACACACACACACACAGGCTTGTGCCCTTGTTAGTGCCATAATTAACAAATTAATACAGTTTCCATTCCCGACCAGGAAAATCTCCACAGGGTCACAGCAGTGGCCAAGGTTTCTTTCTTTGTCATCACTATTACTGTGTTAAATAAAACTGGCAATTATCTTTTACGTCATAGAGCATTCCAAGTTTATTCTTTTTCCCCTCTAAAGAACTGCTCACTAATTCATTAATCCAGTGTGAGGTGTGATCCCCACCCCTTTTTATGAGCATTACCCCATTGACATTTTTATTAAAGAAACCCCATGCAAACAGATAAGGAGCAGCAGTGTCCAATGTGAGGCAAAATGCACTGAATGTGACCCACTGGCTGCACCTAGTGGTCACACAGTGCAACTACAGCAATCAAACCTGGGTCCATAATAATAACAGAAATAAGATAGTTAAGGGAACTAGAATTGTCACTTTTTCATGCTTTAAAGTTAAAAGTGAAGCCATGCAGGTCATCACTGCAATAAATATGTGTGCGGTGCATTGCAAGTTGTCATCACCTTGCAGGAGGAAGCCAGCAAGGAACCGTCCTGTTTCCAGCTCAGACTCTGCAGCTGGTCACTGTGCTGCTCCAGAACTGCAGAAACATACATCATCATTTAGAGAAGGGAGATAAGGGGGGGGGGGGGGGGGGGGGGAGAGGAAATGTGATGCTACACGTTGTGAACACAGAATGACCGCACAAAACAATGAACACAATACAAGAGGAAAAATGCAGGGTAAGAGATGACGCCATAAATCAAGCACACAAAATTCAGAAACACATAAGAATACAAAGTACAGATGATCTACACCAGACGATGGATCATGTGTCCACACAGTTAGGCTTATGAGAGAATTTATGAGTATGACACGTTTTAGGCTGCAGTGCCATAAGTGAGCACAGCATAGCTTGTGTGAATTGGGGTTCAGCATGACACCAAACTGGAGGGGGGGGTGGGGTCCACTTGTTAAGACATTTACACACAAAGTGATTTGACATGAACTTGAAGCCCGAACACACACTCATTCAAGTGAGTGAGTGAGTGAGTGAGTGTGTGTGTGGGGGGAAAAGTTGAATCAGCAGTGAGCAGCAGCAGCAACAGCCAGGCCAGCTGTCATGGGATGGGGAGGGATGGGGGTGAAGTGCTTCTGTGGGGTGGGTGTGTGGAGTGGGTGGCAGGGGTGAAACCAGAGGATAGTGACTACATCCTGAGGCCAGTCTGGGCAGACTGGGACCAGGACTGCAAACCAAAACATTACCTCTGCTGCTCCGGCACATAGACAGAGCCACAGGGCTGTAAAACGTAGGCAGTGTCAGTCAGACAGTCCCCAAAGAAAAAAGGGAAACCAACCACTTCACTCCACTCATATATATATATATATATATATATACACAGTGGGTACGGAAAGTATTCAGACCCCTTTAAATTTTTCACTCTTTGTTTCATTGCAGCCATTTTCCAAAAATCAAAAAAGTTCATTTTAATTCTCAGTAATGTACACTCAGCACCCCATCTTGACAGAAAAAAACAGAAATGTAGAAATTTTTGCAATTTATTAAAAAAGAAAAACTGAAATATCACATGGTCATAAGTATTCAGACCCTTTGCCGTGACACTCATATTTAACTCAGGTGCTGTCTATTTCTTCTGTTCATCCTTGAGATGGTTCTACACCTTCATTTGAGTCCAGCTGTGTTTGATTATACTGATTGGACTTGATTAGGAAAGCCACACACCTGTCTATATAAGACCTTACAGCTCACAGTACATGTCAGAGCAAATGAGAATCATGAGGTCAAAGGAACTGCCTGAAGAGCTCAGAGACAGAATTGTGGAAAGGCACAGATCTGGCCAAGGTTACAAAAAAATTTCTGCTGCCCTTAAGGTTCCTAAGAGCACAGTGGCCTCCATAATCCTCAAATGGAAGACGTTTGGGACGACAAGAACCCTTCCTAGAGCTGGCCGTCCGGCCAAACTGAGCTATCGGGGGAGAAGAGCCTTGGTGAGAGAGGTAAAGAAGAACCCAAAGGTCACTGTGGCTGAGCTCCCGAGATGCAGTCGGGAGATGGGAGAAAGTTGTAGTAAGTCAACCATCACTGCAGCAATCCACCAGTCGGGGCTTTATGGCAGAGTGGCCCGACGGAAGCCTCTCCTCAGTGCAAGACACATGAAAGCCCGCATGGAGTTTGCTAAAAAACACCTGAAGGACTCCAAGATGGTGATAAATAAGATCCTCTGGTCTGATGAGACCAAGATAGAACTTTTTGGCCTTAATTCTAAGCGGTATGTGTGGAGAAAACCAGGCACTGCTCATCACCTGTCCAATACAGTCTCAACAGTGAAGCATGGTGGTGGCAGCATCATGCTGTGGGGGTGTTTTTCAGCTGCAGGGACAGGACGACTGGTTGCAATCGAGGGAAAGATGAATGCGGCCAAGTACAGGGATATCCTGGACGAAAACCTTTTCCAGAGTGCTCTGGACCTCAGACTGGGCCGAAGGTTTACCTTCCAACAAGACAATGACCCTAAGCACACCGCTAAAATAACGAAGGAGTGGCTTCACAACAACTCCGTGGCTGTTCTTGAATGGCCCAGCCAGAGCCCTGACTTAAACCCAATTGAGCATCTCTGGAGAGACCTGAAAATGGCTGTCCACCAACGTTTACCATCCAACCTGACAGAACTGGAGAGGATCTGCAAGGAGGAATGGCAGAGGATACCCAAATCCAGATGTGAAAAACTTGTTGCATCTTTCCCAAAACGACTCATGGCTGTATTAGATCAAAAGGGTGCTTCTACTAAATACTGAGCAAAGGGTCTGAATACTTATGACCATGTGATATTTCAGTTTTTCTTTTTTAATAAATTTGCAAAAATTTCTACATTTCTGTTTTTTTCTGTCAAGATGGGGTGCTGAGTGTACATTACTGAGAAATAAAATGAACTTTTTTGATTTTTGGAAAATGGCTGCAATGAAACAAAGAGTGAAAAATTTAAAGGGGTCTGAATACTTTCTGTACCCACTGTGTGTATATATATATTTATTTATGTTGTACATAGAAACAGAACAGGCCACAACAAAAGACTAACTGACAGAGACTGAAATGTTAAATGCAGTAGAGTGCATGATGTACGACAAAGACTTTGACAAAATACATTTTGGTTGTGGTGTGTGTGTTAATATAAACTGTGCACACAGACATGGGTGTGTACACACGCTGCTCATGTCGGCAGCTGTTGCTACCTGCTAGTGGTGCATCCTGGCGGCTGGTGTCCCAAATCAGGGGGACGAGGTGGTGCCGAGCGCCAGCAAGCTGGAAGAGGTGGGGTGGAAAAGCACCAGCTCCAGCCGGCCCTGACCCGGACGCAGGGTTAGCTCGGGACTGCTGGGCTGCTGCAGCTCTGGATCACACAAACGCCACAGCTTCACCTGCACACACAAAGAGAGGGAGATGTCGAAATAGTACGTGGCAGGGTCGCTTACACTTTCCCACACCTTACAATTCAAAACCAGCAGAAACCTCTTCTCCATCCACTTCACCTTCCACTTTGATGGAAAAAGTCTACAAACCTCAGTGAAGTTCTGCTCCTTTGAACATTAAGTCAGTAGTTATGGTCTGTCTGCGCCAACAGCTGCATTTTTTTGTTTGAAGCCACACCAGACAAGACAGGCTTGTATGACTAACCCAGCTGACAACTGTAGTCAGTTCTGCTCAATTGCGGACATCTCGATGTAGATGCAGCACTGCATAATTCAGGGTTTGGGTTCAGCTTTGGATTTCTGGTTAATGCTGACATATGAGTGCAGACAAAATGAAACTGTGTTATAATGAGTTCATTATAAGTCAGTAAAAATACATTCCCTCAGTTATATTTCACTCTAATTTACTTGTTCAGCACAACCCAGTTGGCAAAACAATATGCCCTGCTGGCAAAAGATAAGAGGAATGAAAGTGCGCTGCAAATCCCGGGCACTGCAGACCCCTCCAGTGTGTGTGCGTGTGGCAAAAGTTGTGTTTACACAGGCCCCTGAGGTAAACCTAGCTGCTGAGTCTGAAGATGCAAGCCCACACGCAGCAAATTCCGGTAAGCTAGGGTACCTGTGGCTGAGGATAATGTGCTGAGAGGAGGGAGTCTTCAAAAGGTTTAAATAACAAAGAACCAAGCAGGTTCATTTCACATTCAAAGCCCGGGCCAGGAACAACAAAGCCTGAGAGGACGGGAAATGGACTTCTGTGCAAGTATACGCCAACAAGATAAAAACAAGATCAATGCAAAGAAAGAGAAAAAGAACAAATGAAGGATGGAGGAGGAGGAAATCAAACAGCTCACCATTTCATCTCCGGAGCATGTTGCCAGGAGACTTTCATCAAAAGGAGAAAAGTCCATATCAGTCATCAGATCTGACAAAGAGGAGGGAAAACAAGAGGAAAATAAAAATTAGATCAGGGTTACAGTTTCATCTGCGATGGACTGGCGACCTGTCCAGGGTGTACCCTGCCTTCGCCCAATGTCAGCTGGGATTGGCTCCAGCCCCCCGCGACCCTGTACGCAGGATAAGCAGTTGACAATGGATGGTTACAGTTTCATTTAATTTCAGAGCAAAGGCATTGACATTGACATTTCTCATGTGATTAGTTTTTTTTTAAGCAGACCAGACAGTCCTTAGGGGTTGAAGTGGTGGCAGTTATGCAGAGGGAGAGAAGAGGATTGAAATTCAACCTTTATTTTATCTCGAGGAATCATTGAGGACATGCCCTCATTTACAGTGGTGTCGAGAGTAAAGTTAAAACAGAATAAAGGTCAAGAACAACAACAACAACAACAACAGAACACAGACGTGCTGACAAAAAGGATAAAGAAAAACTACCAGAATGGCAGGAGATCTGAGTGACTGTCCATTGGCCATCTGAACCTGGTTTGACTGAGGACAGGCCCAGCATTCCTCCACCTGCAGACACATACACAGAAAACACACACTTTAAAAAGACTGCTTCCTTTTTTTCCCCTCATATGACCTGAAAATCCATTATTTCCACCCAGCTCATTGTGATTTTTTGGGGTCACAACTGGGCACTGTAAGTGAATGTTTCTTCTAAACAGTAAAGCTCCAGTGAACAAAAATGTGGCCCAAGATCTCGCAATATCTAAAGCGTGACTATATTTCTCGTCCAGGTGAAACGCTGTCTCACAATATAATTTAAAATTATTATTATTATATAATTAAAATTTAAAATATAAAGTATTTGTATGAGAGTGAAATTAGCACAGAAGATGCCCACGGCACTTTTAAATTGTTTGCGGGCAGCATTTTGGGTACCCGGTGGAAAAAATATACAGCGACAGAGTGACAGACAAAACACGAACGATGTGTAAGCAACATTTCAAAATGCACCTGCACTGTGATGCATTATGTGATTTTCAGTCAAATAAAAGACTTGATTCATTTGTCTCCACACTCTGATTACATGGGCTGAAAATGTACATAGTGGATCTTTCTGTCTACATGAAGTAAACATTACTGTTGAACACACTTTTATAGCCTTACCAGCCTGCTCGGTATTGAAGGCCACCAGCTTGGCGCTCGCTTTGATGTGGTTCCCCTGGGAGGAGAAAGAACCACCTCGGACATTGTTGATCCATTCCTGGATTTAAAGACATGGAGAGCACGAGTAAGGGATTATACTGAATGAAAATAGGGTATAAAAATGCACACAGATAACTGGGGTTAGCAAACATAACAGGGAGGAAAAGAAATGTAATTCAGGCCCAAGTGTTTCATCGGATTACAGTGTAGTGTAGAACCTGACATGTCAGTTTCTAAAAACATTGTTTATCTGTTTCATAATATTAAGGAGCGCACATGACCAAGTTGATGTCACAGCTAGAACAAAATAAAGTGAACATGGAGACAAACAGGAAGGATCTAGCTGAGAGCACGCACACATAACTGCCTCTGAATGAGCAAACCATTGAGGAAGTGGAAAGGCTCCCTGCGTTGCACAGTAGAGAACTCTTAAAACCTCTTTCATAACATTAACGAGGCAAGAGCAGCAAGAGGACAGAGCGTCCACACACAACACAATCCAACAGTTAGCCTACTGCTGCGCTGCTCCTCGGAAAAAGAGGCCAGCCATGACAGACTTTAGGCCTACAGAGGGCTGAAACTGCTCTGCTGAGGAAATGTGCAACACCCTGTTTATGCATCCATGCATTTCAAAGCACCCTTCAAAAGCATGCCTCTGTCTTAACATATATTATATTATATATATTACAGATTATATATTCTGCATATGTGTCAAAAGACAAGTAGACATGATGCAAATGTGTTACTGCTGTGACATAAGCTCACACCCATGCTGTGTGTTTAAGTTGGAAATAACAGCACCCAATAAATAATAATCCTCAACTTGATTTCTTCTGATTTAGCCACATATAAGGTTGTGCTTATTATTATTATTATTAAGATTATTAGTCATGACTTGCATAGGAGGTGGAGGTAATCCATTTAGCATTTTACTGTGAGTGTACCTTGTATCATTACATGTAACGAATAAACTTGATTGATAGATTGTATTACTTTCTCCTGAAATCTCAGTAGGACTTCAAACAGATTCGACTCTTTCAATCAGTCAAAATAATATTAAGGACGCTTCTTATATTATTAGAATGCTCGTCTTCCCTCAGTAAATCCACTTGGATCAGCATGTCCAAAATCTGATAGCTGTTTTTCTGCATTTTTCTCAGGATGAAAGAGTTAGACTCAACACCTTTTGCTGGCAATCCATCCACAGGCCTATGATTAGAAAGAGCCTTGGCAACAAAAACTGCATTCAGGGGACTATGGGACACCTCAGTGGGAGCCAAGTAAGAGCTGACTAAATTGATTCCCAGACTATTCCTGTGACTGCTCTCTCAAAGCATGAAGGAAAATCAAGCTGCTCTGGATAATCTGAGGAGAAAGCTCTAACTCGTTTTTTATTTCTTGTCTCTTTAAATCCCCATGAGCCGGCCTTTCCTCTCACTTTCTGCTCCTTGCCCCATTTTCTCTCTTGTACAATGTTTGACATGAAAGCTCCTGTCACATGACTTCAGCACTGGAATAGATACACACATATTCATTGGGCTTTCTGTGTCAAGGGGGCTACTTTAACGTTCACAGCATTTAAGCACCACCTGCTGTCTCAGATCCTGGGCAGAGATTGGAGAGACACCAAGACCATCCACTGTCTCTCTACATGCCAGGCATTTTACTGCCTTTGTAAAAACAAGGTTGGGGATTATATAATCCACCTAGGTAAGGAGCTGCAGGCGCTGCGATTTGAAACAAATGGGTCAAAAGGACGCTAAAAAATGGCAGGTTTACATGTTAGTATGCAAGACACTCCAGTGTCGTCCAGACACGTCGCCTCTTGCAGCCCGCAGGTCAACTATCACTAAGGGAGGCATCATGAAAGTAATGCCACTTATCGCATTTGCCTTTCAAATTTTAATCTTCCACATTGTAAATCTGTGCAGGTCAAACATATCTCCAAGTTTGCAGTAAAAACAAATTGTGCAACGCCACATAATTATCGAAAACAATAATCAATGAGAAACTCAGTCAGCTATAATATAATAGCATGATGATGGGCGTCAATACAACATCCGATGTGGGCTAGCAGCTCTATGCAACCACATGGCTAGTGTTCACCAGCAGCCCATAGTTCGTGTAAATACTAGTGTGTGAATCCAGATTTTCGTGTAGTTCTCTCAGAACTATGCAGCCCTCCAGATGCAGGAAGTTCAACATCACTTGCACAGGCAGGCGTTCCCCAAAACACCGTTCAAGTAGCACCGCTAATAACCAATGCTAATGTTAGCTAGGTAAACTGGCACTACCCAGACGCTCGTGAGCTACTCACATCTTTCTTGGCAATTTTCGGAGTGGTGTTTTTGAATTTGGACGTCTTAAAGCGATTCATGCTGCCCTCTCAAATTGACTTTCGTGCCTTCCGGGTGTCTCTGTCGAGCTGGTTGGTACTCGGCAAAGAGGACTCCTGCTACAGCTGACAGTTCAGGGTGGCCGCGCAGTGTCTGCTCGCTTTGCACCACAGCGCTGCGCAATTGGGCGGCGTTTACTTTTTACAAACACTACAGAACACCCTGCTGTCAAGCGCTACCCCGGGTCTTAAAACAGGTGCATCCTTTTGTACTTGACACTTGTGGCACTCGTTTTCACAACGAAACTAAAATAATGTTTTAATACTTTTAGTCAGTCTTAATTGTTATCTGTTGGAGCCCCTTGCTTAGAGTTAAAACGAGAATCAATGAGATTTAAGTTAACTTTTGCAACTCGTTTTTCTTGAGAGAGCACCATCTTGATTCAGCCAGAACGTCTTTGCGCCCTCAGTGACGCCCACTCCGCCTTGGACATGCGCAGTGACGCCGGAGCAGCGCTAGATGAAGGAATGATGGCGTCCTCGGCTGCCCGCTGCTCCTCACGCTGGATTACAGTCATCGTGTCCTCTGGACATCGCAGGGCCGCCGGCGCAGTTGTGTGCGTTGGCCATGGCGGGGTCCGAAGTATATCTACACTGGGAGCAGAAACATTGTGGCGGGGAGGGAACCTGATGTGTGGCGGAGCAGGGAAAGCGTTGACATTGAGAGGGCTGTCAGGTGAGAGGGGTAACGTTGTATTAGCCATATGGTATTGGCCTAGGCTAGGCTAGGCTAGGCTTGTTGTCGTTTCTGCTTTACTCGTGACGCCGGGTAAGACAACTTGATAACAGCTCAAACTACAAAGGTATTAAAGAGAAGATGAGCTTGTAACACAACCGCATATATGCACGTAGACATAGTGAATTATGTGATGCAATCAGTTTAGCTTAACTTAGCTAACTTTGGTTTGCAGGCATCAAGTCGAATTTGCAAGGGATGAGGCCAGTGTTACATCATATTGTGCGACCCACCAGATTCTGTTCGCCCTATACCTTAACCTGAACTTATCGATAGACCTCACCATAACCAAACCACAAGGGGAACTCGCCAAGACTGGATTTCAGAACTTGTTGTTCTGTCAACAATCTTTGTTGTCGGCAGAGCCACTTGCATATTGTTTACAGCTTATACTGCAAGGGAATCCTGTCCTTTGCCTTACTGTTCTAAATGGTATTTACTTATTACCCCGTTTTGGCACTTCTAGGTATCAAATCTCCCCATGCTGTCTCCACACTGTCCTTTCACACAAGTGCCCCTGTTAGCAGTAAGCAGGACTTCTACCAGGTCCTTGGTATACCTCGCACAGCAACCCAGAAAGAGATCAAGAAAGCTTACTACCAGGTCAGCTTTGCCCTGAAATACATTCACAGCTCATATTGGCTCTCAGATAATCAATCATCACAGTAGCTGACGGTGTGTTTGCTGTCCCTTAGATGGCCAAAAAGTATCACCCTGACACCAACAAAGATGACCCACAAGCCAAGGAAAAATTTGCTCAGCTGGCTGAAGCTTATGAGGTTTGGTCTCAGTCAAGCTTTCACTTGACTCATCTACTGTATAGTTTCCCTTATGTGTTCTACAAATAGTCATCTCCTCCACCACTACACATGGACCTCTTAAACTTTGCTCCATGTTTCTCTCAGGTCCTGAGTGATGAAGTAAAGAGGAAGCAGTACGATACCTATGGCTCAACAGGCTTTGACGCTGGTCAGGCCGGTGGAGGGCAGCAGTACTGGACTGGACAGACCAGCCACGTGGACCCAGAAGAGCTCTTCCGCAAGATCTTTGGGGAATTCTCTGGAGGCCGTGGCTTTGGAGACTTCAATGCCATATTTGATCAGCCACAGGAGGTTAGTGGGATACTGTGATGTAAAACAGGAGTGAAATTAAAGCCAAGGATCGCCTTTTGATTTTGCTTTTGGGATCTTACCTGCTTCTCATTTGGTCATTTTTATTGGTGTATGTTCAGAGTGATGCATCTCCAGCACCCTTTCTTCTCCCCAACACAGTACATCATGGAGCTGACGTTCACTCAGGCTGCAAAGGGAGTCAACAAAGAGATATCTGTTAACATAGAAGCAGCCTGCGAACGCTGTGATGGTAAAGGCCATGAGCCAGGCACCAAAGTTCAGCACTGCCACTTCTGCAACGGCTCCGGCATGGTAAGAGCTCTGACTCAGCTTTTCTTTAAAGAGTATTTGCGTTTTATTCCTAACGCACATATTGTCCTCCATGTAGGAGACAGTGAACACGGGCCCGTTTGTGATGCGCTCCACGTGTCGTCGCTGTGGCGGCAAAGGCACGGTCATCTCCACCCCCTGTCACTCCTGCCGTGGGGCGGGGCAGACCAAGCAGAGGAAGGCTGTGATGGTTCCTGTGCCTGCAGGTCAGTCTCACTTAACTGTCTATTGTACTGTTTACGTACTGTAAATACCTAAAGGAAATGTTTTTTAATCACTATTAATGAGCATGAATGACATGAAGTCCCTTCAATGGCTTTAAAGTACAACTATACTGCTGATCATAATTCATACTTTTGTATGAGAAAGCTGTTGTATTTTTTTTCTGGCACCATCTAATTCTAAATCTACAATCTTAAAAATGAGTTTCATAACCTTACATATTAACGTGCAACAGTGAAAATATTCCCCACATAATAGAGACATGTTAGGAAAAAAAAATCAAGTTTGATCATTGGCTGTAGTTAAATCTGTGGGTTTTGTTAATCGTAATGGTCATAAGGAAAGCAAAAGTATGATGGTTCATATCCTTAAAATAATAGTCCACACAAAGTCTCTTGAGGATGAAATCAGGGTGACCACGTGTCTGCCCAACTTTCGCGCCCAAAGGGGGGTGAAGATTGATTTTTACACTTTACGTGCTGCTTGATGGTTCCGTCTTCTCAAATGTGAAAATTTGCTGCTTTTCCTTGTCTTAGAGTTAAAAACTGCACATCTCTAATGTAGATCGTGTTTGTATTTGCTTTAAGGAGTGGAGGATGGTCAGACAGTCAGAATGCCAGTTGGTAAGAAGGAGATCTTCATCACGTTTAGGGTGAGTATCTTCAGCAACTCCTCAGCCATTAGCACTGATCTCTCACAACAAATCCTGAGCCAGAAAATAAACAAGCTCTTCATGAAGTGCATGTCCACCTCACAGCCGCTATAACGGGATTGTCTTGTATAATGTAGTGGTGTGGGCAAGTGAGAGACATTGAGCTTGTCTGAGCTGGTTGACTTTGATTGTTGTGATTGATTGTGTTTACGCTCTGGCTTGGCGTCCAGGTCCAAAAAAGTCCCCTGTTCAGGAGGGACGGTGCAGACATCCACTCTGACCTTTTTATCTCTGTGGCCCAAGCTCTCCTGGGCGGCACGGCCAGGACACAGGGCCTTTATGAAACACTAAACTTATCCGTAAGTAGACGGCTACTAAATTCTCAGGTTTCTCCTGACAGTGTGATACATGACTTGATTTTCCTCGTCTTCAGATCCCTGCAGGCATCCAGACAGACCAGAGGATTCATCTGGCAGGGAAGGGAATCGCTCGTGTCAGTGGCTATGGCTATGGAGACCATTATGTCCATGTCAAAATAAAAATACCCAAGTAAGACTCCACAGACAACGTGCCTTGTTCATCTTTTTTGCTGCATTCATACCAGATAGTGCCATAAGAGGGCCTTGTGATGGAGTACTATGACTTGTTGTAGTCTAGAATAAAAGGGATAAAAAAAATTTAAAAAACAGTTCCCTATCACAAGGATCATAAGATGTTGTTTTCCTGCGCAGGACACTGACAGACAGACAAAAAGCTCTGCTAATGAGCTTTGCTGAGGATGAGACAGACGTTGAGGGGACGGTGAACGGTGTCACTGCCACCACCACAGGTAAGAGGACAATCTCAGTGACTGACGACCTCTGACCCTGCTGTTTTGCTTGATCTACTGAAATGGAGGGGGTTAGGAAAGGAAGTTGTGCTTGGTTGTTAAGCCTTGTTGATGCAGTGTTAATCTCTGTCCAGATGGGGGCAGCAGTGGTAAGCGGTCTGAGGCAGGGCAAAGCAGGCATGGCAAGAAGGAAGGAGAGTTGAAACAAGAGGGGGGCTTCTTCTCCAAATTAAAGAAATTGTTTAGTTCTTCTTGACAGCCACAAACCAGGTAGGACTAGAATTTATTCGTTTCTCTCACTCCACTTTTTCTGTTCTGTTCTTCACAAATGGATGTGATGCATTATGCAACAATTACCTTGTCATTATCTGGTTTGTGGCTGTCATATAAACACTAATGCATGCACCCCTGCATTCAGCTGGATGTCCAGCCAGCCTGAGATGTCCTAAATGTCTGGTCTGCATCTTTTATATGCCGTTTTGTTTTTTTAAAATTGGACTGCTTTGGCAGCAAAATGTTTTTAAAAGTTAAATTTACCAAGAATCCATTTTACAACCTTTTTCCTTTTCCTCCTTCTCAAAGGTAAAAGGTCATCCTGGAACTGACAAGCTTCATCAGTAGGGCAGAGGGGTGGACGGCGTAAAGTAAGAACAGCCATATTCTAAAGGAGCAGGTGCTTCAGGAGTATTGGATGAGGTCCACAGAGGTTCTGGAACGCATCAGTACGGACCTACCTACCCAGTCCTGCAGTGAATAAGGCAGAGGATTACCTGCTCTATAACTCTGCCAAAGTGAATCCACACACAAGAGGGTGTTCAGGCGCACAAATCACCTCTCTGTCAAATGTCCATTGAGGCCATTTGGGCAGCAAAGACTTTAACATTTATTGCAACAGTCGGTCCATGTTGGTTTTCAGTTTATCATCAGTAAGAACAACATGATACTAAAAGAATCCATGCGCACAGAAATCAATTATTGTATTGACAGATACAACAGATAAGTTTTTTGGGGTGGGGTACGTGAAGCTCCTATCCTTTTAGTTCTGTATGCTTTGGCTGTGTTTTCATGAATACTTATGTCTGCAGTAGTCTCCTGTCTCAGATTAAGGAACTGTGGTTAGATAAAGTTGACTCGGGCTTTCCTTGTCTGTGAACACTGATGACCGGACTGTCCCTCTTTTGACCCTTTTTAAAAACGAGAGTAAATTCACTTGAGTTCTGCACCTTCATTGCATTTGTACATACAGTAGACAATTGTGGATCATAAAGTTGCATCAATGTGTGACATAGAAGAGATGTACTGTACGTATATAATAAAGCTATGGTCTGGGAAAAACTTTGGTTTTATAAATATCAGAATGCTTTGACTGTGTCTAGTCAATAATATATTTTACATAATGTTCACCCTCTTTTATTTATAATATAATGCAACCCAAAACACCACCTAACAAACACCACGTAGGATTATTTTTGAATACATTTCACTGTTCAGGTGTACCTAATAATCCGACTACTTATTTTTAAAATTTAAATAAATCTATTAGCATTATTTTCAAAGCAATGTTCTGTGGGCATTATTCTACATTAACCTTTCAGCTAATGATTGCTGTAAGTGACAGATACATACACTAATGTACAATTACCATAGGTTGTTCATAGAAGAACAATTACTATAATTATAATTAATATGTCATGCTATTGTCCCTGTGAGGCTGTACCATGGGACTGAATTTACAGACGTGCTGTCAGCCCAATACTAACTCTACTAGCTTTACAGCAACAATGCTAATGCTTAGCTAGCAAGTACAATCTTAATCTCAAATTAGCGTTAGCGTTTTAACATTTGCTAATTAGGACAAACGCAAAGCAGAGGCTGATGGGAATTTTATCAGCTTGCAATTATTTGGTCATAAACCAAAGTATTAAAACTAACTGACATTTTTACCTGATGATAGTGCTAGATGAAAGGTTACAAAAGTTAATAATCATTTATCCCAAGAGGAACATTAATGCCTGTACCAAATGTCATGGCAGTCCATCCAGTATTTGTTGAGAGATGTCACTCACAAAATCACAAATGTAAACCTCATGGTGACACTAGAGGAAAAGTCATGGGATCAACAAAATCATTAGGATTCTTCCTTTGGGGGAGTACAAAAATACACACTTTCATGTACTTGACATGTTTCTAGTCTGGACTAAAGTGGTGGAGCGGCCAAATGACTGACCAGCATAGCTAGTAAAAATGCCATAAATGATAGACATCATTTGGCGATGTAGAGCTTTATGGATGAATCTATGTTTGAACCAACTTCAGTTCTCCCTCGGCTAGAGGCTCTTTGCCAACAAACTAATAAAGTGCGCATTAAAGATAATCATCTTGTTTAGATTTTTTTTGTCATTAAAAACACCAGTCCAAACGAATCACCTTTATTTCAGCATAAGCAGGAAAACAGAATTAATGTCATTATAGACAGCACAACATCCTGCTGGACTTTTACTCTCATACAATGAGAGGATTTTAGCCAGTCGCTAATAAAGCTTTGTCCTGTTAGATAACACACAAAGGGATTATAAGCAGAATTAATGAAAACACAAGAGAATTCAAAATCAACATGAATTAGTCATGTATCCCACTCACTTTAAGGTTTAACCGATGACCAAAACTACCTGAACTCCTGAGTTTCAAGTAAGTCCCTTCAATATGCCCCAAAAATCCTGTAGCATTTTGACACATCACACTGGCATAAAAAAAATTAAATAACACCTGGACATTGAACCACAAGATAATTTTAGGGCATAGGGTCCATGTATTAGGCCTCCATATCCAATGTATTGTATTGCAATCTGACTGCAACATGAACCTGAGACACTCAAATACAAAATGTATCACTAAGGTTGGCATGGTCTGCGATCAAACAGCCACACTACAGCTGTTGTCCTGAATGAGGTTTCTTAATGAAGGAATAATGTACATCCATATGTGTGTGAAATTACAAACAGCACAGGAACCTGCCAGAAATGTTATCTGACCGACAAACAAAGCAAAGGGGAGAAAACAGCTTGGAAAGATAAAGCAAAGTAATGACATGTATTTACTGTGTCAGGATAAATATTAAACTTAAATCACAAGAAAACAGTGCAACAACACTGCATACAGTATACACAGCACAAAATAATGCTCTTTCTCTAAGTTGAAAAAAACTTTAACAGTGCTACAGTATGAACAACATTTGAATAATGATTATAGTTTTAGTGATGATGCATACAGTTTTATCCATAACAAATGGATATATAAACAAGAGCTGAGCTGCTGAATGACCTACCTAGAAGTACCTAACCTGAAGTAGTTCATACTGAAGAATTTAGACATACCATTAGTATTATAAAAAGACAATTTCCTTTTAAAACAGCTGTAATCACCTCTGTCAACACCTTTGTCCTAATATAGGCTCCTATGGCAGGTCAAACTGATACACCAATGAGTCACTCCTCTTGGATAGTTAAGCTATGCATTTAAATCGACAGCAGGCAGTTTTTTAGAAACACAAGACGCACTATTCTGAAACAGACAAATAGTACGTTTGAACATGCATCAGTAGAGATTCAAACATCTGGTATATTCACTAGTATCTGAAAGATGTTTATTAATCATACACTTCAAAGTCAAAGTGTAGGTGTGCTATATTTTGAAGGAGAAAAAAGCTTTTCCATCACCTGTCGCACAGAACATGTGTACAAACATTTTGGAGGCCATGTTTGAAATGTGGTGATGGATTTAAAGTATAACAGTATATGGAGGGGTGGGGGGGTGGGGGATTCTATACAGCATAGTATTGCGATATTTTACGTGGCAATATTGTATCGATACACAGACCCCAAGTATCGATCTTTTATTATATAAATTGTCGTGAGAATTTTACTTTTTGGTACTATAATAATAAAATCAATTGCTTTTTCAGTCCACTAGAAAAACGGGACAATACGAAGTTGGAAAAAAAGGTAATAAATTGCAAAATATCACAATATGTTTAAAATCGCAAAAAATGTTGTATCGTGACATAAGTGATAATATCGAATCATGGGGCCTCTGGTGATTCCCACCCCTAACATTTTCTAAGTTTACATTTACAAATAAACCACTGTTTCAATGTTGCATTAACTCATTCATTACTTCCTGTGCCTGGTCAAATTAAGGTCTTTAAATACTGAAACACCAAGGCCTCATTAAAAATCAATGCAGCAGTCTGCCCAGCAAAAACCTACTGTGTTATTATACTCATGCATAACATGCACATAGTGTGTTTCAGCATATTTTTACTAAGCTCACCATGAGATAATACTGATAATCTCTTCATCACTCTTAATTAAAGCTAGTGTAGACAACGTTGGAGTATTTGATGTATTAACTGCTATTGGGATGTAAAAAAACTAAAATGTTTCTGAAATAAATTGCCTACTCCAGCTTTAATGTACCACTGCATAGTTAATGCATGTGCAGGATCTAAAAGTCACCATGCGCCGTCAATATGGCGGTTTCATTTCAAACGTTCACAATTAATTAGCTGTTCACGATGTGTGCTTCCATGACAAAAGCAGAAACCAGCTACACAAGGACTTGAAATACTACCACACACACACACATTCGGAGGACACAGGCTGGAGGGATAGTCCACAGGAGGTAGAGAAAACAAAGTGACAGGAGAACTGTAACAATGTGTATATTGACGTATGGATGGATAGATAGATGAATGGATGGGTTTGACATCCTAATGGTCCTATAGATCATTTCATTGGAATTCTATCGATAAAAAACAGATCCAAGTTTATTTCCTGTCAGCTCTTAGCGAACATGTAACATTAAATAAACTTTGACCCATTTACAATATGTATGAAACTATGAAATGGTCTACAGTTTGAGGGACTTCTCTTGTCTCCTTACTGTCCTTCCTTCTGTTTAAACCCTCTCTCTCACAGCAGCAGAGTGACAGGGTGACCGCTGGATCACATTAGATACCAAGCAGCCAATCCAGCCAGAGCAGCAAACCAAGTAGCAAACAGGACCTGTCCTGTTGGGTGTCGAAGTACAGCCATGGCAAGCTGACAGAAGTATGCTGTTCCACCAGACGCCGCTGTGACCCAGAAGGAGCAGAAAACAAACTTAAACAAGATCCCCACGATAGCTTTATAAAAGCTTTATCATAGGTTTAATGCTATTTATTTATTGCGCCAGAAGTATAAAAGCATACCCATTTTGGCAGCATAGTAGGGACACTTGCTGATATCTCCACCCATTGCTCCATGGACGGGCATGCCAGCATCTAAAACATCCTCCTGGATGGTTTTACCAATTTCTTCCAACTCCTCAAACACCTGCAAGCACAAACATATTGTATGAAAGGTTATCGAGCTTGTTGCATGACTCCGTATTCCAGAAATTGTTCATGGATAAAACAACCAGACAGAATTATCATCATTAATCACACTGATGAAAAGAACACCAAAACAACTGTCAGAAAACAGTCCTGATAAATAAAACATGCCCAAAATACAATAGATATTAAAGGGATAGTTACCATGGTATAGAGGGTATAGCAATATGTTATACAGTAGACAAAATTCTATTGTGTGACAATATCACTCACCCAAGCATCCTTCCACAACTGACACAGCCTAACACAGTATTAGTTGTGCTTTATAATTTTCTATTATTCATTCACTAACATAACTGCTTATCAATTGTTGTTGTAAATATAGATCCAAGCTCAACAATATTGTAATTGCAACTTAATTCACAAAACAATTGCCTCAAGAAAACTCGACTAGCCTTGCACACACTATCTAAAGAGTCCTTGTGAAATCTTATGTGACGTTGAGGGAAAATGTACAAACTCGCATTTCAAATGTCACTTTTATTAATATAATCCTCTAATGTTATCCTAATATAATTAGGATAACATTAGAGGATGACGGTGCCTTCAGTAATCTAATACTGTCTTAAAAAGTCAGTAAATGATCAACACAGCCACAAGGAGCACATCTCTACTGTAAGAAAATCCTCCATAAACCACTTCACCATCACCAGCAGGGAACAGATGTTCGATTTGTGTTTCCATAGCTTTCGTTTCTTCTGTCTCTCCAAGCTCCGTTGCTTCTCCCTGGCCTCTTACCTCCATGTTGAACTGGAAGGCCTTGACAGCTTCGTCTACCAGCCTCTTCTTTGTTTCCACGTCCAGTTCCAGCTCGTTCATCCGACTACGGTACAGCTGCTTGAATGCTTTGGCACTATGGATGGCATCAAACTGGTAGAACTCCAGGCCTTCCCCTGTGGGCGGCAGCTTCATGGCTCTCTGCGCCACCTTCTTCAGCACCTGTCCCCCGGACAGGTCCCCCATGTAGCGCGTGTAAGCATGGGCCACCAGCAGGACTGGGTCTGCCTGCCCTACTTGATGAATACGGTCCACATAGCGTTGGGTGGCTTGGGAGCAGCTGACCTGGCTCTGCCAGTCAGGTCCATAAAAGTACTCAAGGTCACGAGCCAGGGCCTCGTGGCGGTGCAGCTCTACAGGAAAATATAGTGGGGCAAAGTGGGGGTGGTCTTTGTTCCTTTCAATCTCCTCCTCCATGGCTGTATAAGTATAGTAGAGTGCCACGGCACCAAGCTGGGGAAGCAAGAAAGAAAAATAATTTTGCTTGTCTCCTTTTTCCAGTTTTCTTTTGACAATTTATTGAATGTTTTTACTCATTTGTGTGTGAACTATGTGTTTAATAAAAGTCTACTCTATCATTTTAAATTTTAAACTTTTCTTCAGACTGACCTTGAAGAGCTCTTTCCGGATGCGTCCCCTGAGGAAATCTTTCACAAACTGAGTGTTCTCAGCCTTTTCATGCACCTCCTTGGTCCCTGCTGATAGCATCTCAGACAGATCCTCAGGACTGGGGGAAAAGAAAAGAGAAAAATAGCAGGTATACTGTGTGGTTGATAGAAACACTACAATGTGATTATTTAGTTTTAAAGATAATGATGTTACAATATTAGTGGGAGATTTACCCGAGGGCGCCTTCTTTTTCCTCATACAAGGGCCCCGCTCCATTAGACACACTCGCTGTTGTCTCCATCTTCTTGGCTGACATTAGTGGTGTGTTTCTGTCTGTAAGTTAGTTCACCCCAGAATCAGTGAAAGACCTGAAATTATCATTATACTCACATTACTATACGTATAGTCACAAATGATATGGCATCAGTCATATTTACGTTTCAAGTCAATTTTATTTGTATTGCCTTGGAGGCTTTACAATCTGTACAGCATACGACACCCTATGTCCTTAAAGCCTTGAGTAGGATGAGAAAAAACTCATTAAACTGCATATATGTTACTAATTCATGAAAATAAGTTATATTTCATCTTTAAATATACTGCTACAGTTTTGATTGAGGCATTTACAATGGTAAGTGTAAGCTTTGATTTATCATTACTATGACGTGGTACAATAGTCACTGCTGTCCAAAAGTGTCCCTTGAGGCAATGTTGCGTCACTGCTTTTCAGAATAGACAAGGGAACAATGTCAGGCTGCAGTCTGTGCAACTGCACAGCTGTCCTACACCAAAACAACAGCAGCACACAGGAGCAAAATACACAGTATACATTACATTACTAACTACATTTCCAGAGCCTGGGAGAAAGGCTTCAGAACATATATGTAGACCAAACACAATCACAGTAAATTGCCCATTACAGCCACCAGGTCCGTATTCATCAAAATTAAGGCTGTTAGCAACGTTCCTCTAACTTTCTCTAATAATTACCCAACCACGACAATTGCGTGTTAAGCGAATTCAGTGCGTCTAGCCAGAAACAACAGATGGACAGATAAATAACAGCATATATTAATCATTACCCAAGAGGCAGCAGAGGTCTAAACAGGCAGAAGGGCAGGGGACTGCACTCTATTCACTATAGCGGATGTCCCTGAGATGATGGTCAAAGGAAAGATGCCTTCTGCCAGTTAATTCAGTCTTTGACCTTATTTACTCTGTGTGAAACATAAGGCAATGTGAGCGTGAAAGCTGATACAGCCTGGCAGGGGCTGGTTTGCTTTACATAGTTGCTGCTTTGAACAACATCCAGGCTTGACCCACCACACGAACACTGCCAAACAAAAAAGCAGCTCACACAACACAACAGGGGCCTTCTGGCGTTTACCACAAGTCAGACTAACTAGTAGATAGAGCTAGCTGGTGTTGTCTGAGGAGAGTTATTTAAGTGATTTGATTCAGTTCGCTTCCTCAGTGTAATAAAAATAGCCCTTTCGCCGGGATACGAATAAACGGCATGCTTGTCACACCTGACTGTAACATTTTAAGATGTTAGGAGCATCATGTTAGACAACAACAGCTAACTTTGCTGCCTGACGCTAGCTAAGTTAGCTAACAGCTAGCTAGCATTTTTAAACAAGCTAACAAACTTACGAATTCACGAGCGGAGTTACATTACATTGGAGGGTCGATAAGTTTATTCACCTACCGAATTTATATTAACGGTTTAGAAGGAGTTGGTAACATTTTAACATTACAAACCTTTAGTCTACCACTGTGTGCAGAGTACTCCTGTGATCCAGGACGGAACTGCACGTCCTACTCCGCCCCCGCCCGGCAGCTCGCAGTCAGGTGCTTCTCCACAGGATGCGATGAGGGGGACGCACATTGCGTCTACTTTTTACACAACTAACGTTACCACTGCGGGTACTACTACTATAACTACTGCCATTCAGTATTGGAAGGAGTACTCAGATACTTAAAAGTATCACAGTGTAGAAATACCCTATCACGAGTAAAAGTCCTGCATGCCCAAATGTATGCCCTGTGTAAAAGTAGCCGACTAAAGTATTAGCTCTCAAATTAGCAAAAGTAAAAGTAATCATTTTTTAGAATACCCCATTTAAGAATACTACTATATAACGTTAATTGGATTATGATTAGTTTTGCAATAATGTGTACATCCTTTTAATTTTGCAGCTGATAAATGGGGGCAAATGTATTAATGTATGTTCTACATATATTACTTTATACTGCTGGGTAGCTTGTGAATTCTCCCCTTGGGATCATCATATCATAATTTACTATATTTGTATTCTTAACATGCATGTGGTAAGTAGCCTATATATGGTTAAACGTTCATATTAGTATGATAATGTTATCAAATAAATGTAGTCAAAAGTACACTATCTGGCTCTGAATTGTAGAAGAGTATAAGTATTATGAAGCAGGAAGAGAAAATAAACTAAAGTACAAATACCTCAAGTAAATGCACTTAGTTATTTTCCACCACTGCTGCCACTACAACTAATACTTGTATGGATAATAATTCTAGTGCAACTAATAATAATTATTGTATCACGTCTTGGTTCAGACAACGGAGCCTCAGTGTTGTTATTTTGGTAACCACATAAAAAGTATAGGCGAACTAATAACCGATCGGTTACATAAAGTTAGATAGATAAGGAAGCCATAAAAGATTGGCACTGCAGGCTGAAGCAATATAAATGACCGCAGTGTTATGCAGCACTGTCCACTCATCATACATGTTAAGGAAATTATAAGTATGATATTAAAATGGACAAAAGTCTGTTTGTTCATTGAATTATGGGTTTGACATGGGCCCATGAGAGGGCATGGGGTCTGTGTCTCTGTGAAGTGCAGGGAGGATGTTGGAGTTAAAGGTGAACATAACAAACACCAAGGTCATGACGAAGAGTGGAGAAAAGGAGAAGTTCATGTCACGATCGCTGGGTGCACAAAGTAGGCGTGTGAGCCCAAATGCAAGACACCAGGAGCAGAGATAGGTTAAAGGGAAGGAAAGACAAACAGACAAAACAACAAAAACCCACGGGTACAGGAAACTGGTACATCCAAAAACCAGAACAGGTAATGCAGCAACTTGCAGAACATACAACATACGACAACACTAGACAGAGTGTATGCACGCTACAATGCCTGGACAGGGAATGAACAGAAACACCAAAAATATACATATATACATATAACATATATATACACAGGGACTAACGAGCAGGGCGGGAGCAACACAGGCGACCGGGATCAGGGCTAATGAGGCAGAAAGACAGCAGGGGAGAACAGAGAGGCAGGCAGGCAGGCAAAGAGACAGCAGTGGAGAACAGGGAGACAGGCAGGCAGAGTGATAATTGGGGGAACAGACATAACCTAGGTTACTGGACACTAAACACAGACATAAACTAAGACACAGAACTAAACCAAAGATACATGACAGACAGGTACAAAGTGAGCTAAACAGAACCTGCAAATGAACAATGAAATAAACAAGGCTAAACAAAGAACACAAGACAAGGAACAAAACTCCAAAACAGAAAACATGGACCAACTGTTACACAGACCGGGGTAGGGAACAGAGACAGAACTAACCAGGAAACAGGACAACACTCAACAAGGAACAGAATGGAAATAATGAAAATACCAAAACACCGCTAAACACTATCTGACAGATAATAACTACATAAATAATAACCCAGACTAAATAACAGATACCAAACTGATCAATAAGTAATCTCACAGTGAACTAAACTCAATTCAACTAAAATGTGGATGCAAAACCCAAATCTTAGAATCAAGAACACAGAGTGGATAAGGGAGACAAGATAACAGGACAACACAGACAACAGACTACAATAACAGAACAAAAACAGATTAACACAGAACCAAACAGACAACAAAACGGCAGATCTCACCATAAACACAGACTAGACACAGGACAACAAACAAGACAGAACCCCAAAACACAACAGACCAAAATAACAAATACTCAACTGACCAAAAATAGTACAAAACTAAAACATGGCTGACAGGCAGAATTTGACAGTTCAAGGAATAAAACATTCTCTCCTTTTATGCCTCTGCGCCGATAGCCGTGGCCAGAAGCATTGTGTTTTCAGGTTGTCTGTATGTCCATTCCATTTTCCATGAGGGAATTTCTTTAAATTTCCACCTGGATGAAATTATTAGAATTTAGTTGTCAAAGTTCAAGGTCACTGTGATCTCACAAAACATGTTTTTGACCATATTTCACAGTTGTTCAGTTAGTGAAACTTTTGACTGAAGGGTTTAAGGTCATTGTGACCTCAAAATAGGTTTTTAGCCATACTTGAAGAATGAAATGGGCACTTCCAGATTTCACACACATGTTACCTAGGACGACACAATGAATGAACAATAACTAGCAAAGTACAGGTGTCCTTCCATCTTGTCCATTCTGCCTTTCACTTCCTGTCTAATTCTGAATGTCCAGCATCATCATAGTCAGCAAACAACGTGTCAATTTGGTTTCACATCTAAAAATGCTCGGAGAAAACAAAAGCACCAAATTTTGTGTAGCTTTAAGAATCCATCTTTACATATTAATCAAGTATATGTGTATCTGTTTAGCCAATACATCTATAATGATCCTTCATTAATCAGTTCAACAACGTATATTCACTGGAATTATACATATGTATCAATATAGAGATAACTTCCATTTACCATGAAGTCAAAAAGAAATATGAGTAAAAAACTAAATTGTAGCAAAATGGCAATCATAAATAATTTGAACCTGTGTATTTTTTACAGGAACATTTCAGTGCCCCAATTTGGTGCAGTTAAAAGCACAGTATTGTATGGCAATATTGCATCAAATGTAACACATCACATAACAAGCCAGAAACTACAAAATCATCACCAAAATAAATATCAAAGACCGCATCAGCAGGCTAGAAAAGAATAACCACAAGGGGGCATTCCTATCTAGTAAATACAATAGTTAAACAGCTTGACTACACAGATCAAAAAGCCCGATGAAATCATTTTGGGGCTGTAATTGTAATTTAAGTGGTATACTGAAGGCACACCATTTATGTAATATGACTTGTTTGTGTTTTCTTAAATTAAGCATGAGATGTTTCTGTTTATTCCCGGAGAAATTGGTCCATCATTCATAAAAGTGATTGCATATTCGGTTGTCTATTTAACTGATAGCCCCACAGTGTACTCAATTGCAGATCAACTCAGTAAATATGGAAATGAAGTATTCTGAATTTCTACTCGATGATATGTGTCCTAATCTTTGCTATCAAACTCCTTCGACACCACCCTCTGTTTCTCTCTAAGGCAACACTGAAATGATTACAATGTGATAGCTCTTACATAACCACATAACAACATCAGCTTTATGATACAATCATCTCCCTTGCGGTATTCACCTCATTCTTCTTATTTTGCGGAGTGTCAGTATAAAGTGACCCTGGGTCAGCCTCTCCACCTAAGCACAAATTCAACACATTTGAAGCTCTTACAAAGCGACTCTCTTTCTTGTGGGCTCTTAGACACATGTTTGTCAACACAAGGCGTACCTGAAGTTTTCAGAATAAAAAACTGTCTCCCTATCACAGCGTCATCATACATGTTCTTCAGAAATTACTTCTACCAAGCCAACTTGTAAGTTCAGTTATACTTGCTCTATATATATATTATCTTTAAACCAACACCTTATATTTACATTGAGATTTGGAGAGGTGAAAGGATAGTTCACTATCTTCACAGAGTGCACTGTGAAAAGTGCAATGAGTGTACTGTGTAATTACAATGAGTGCTTCCAGATGAATAGGTGTTTGAACCATAATATGTTGTCCTGTCCCTCTGGGACAAACAAACAAAACAAAGTTCCCTCATGTTATCGTGTTTACAACGTGCTGTTGGGGTATTCTGCCAAGCACAGATCATATTTTAATAATGATATTGCAGGTGTTTGTGTGCACACATGATTCATGCATGCTGTTCATGAATAATGTACAAAGTAGTTGTTTGTATCGCTAAGCAGATTTGTCTTTCAGTGTATGATTGGATGCAGGGTATATTTGAAAGTCTGCATGTTGTGTGTGTGTGTGTGTGTTAGCGTGTCTGTGAGTATGTGTATGTATATGGGGGAGACAAAGTGGATGTGTGAGTGTTTGTGTGTGTGTGTGTGTGTGTGCGCGTGTGTGTGTGTGTATGACTGTCAGCCGGCCGCAGTGTCAGATGCTTTGTTGGTGGGGCAGCTGAGTCCCCCCTTCTGCTTGTGCTTCTGAGCCACAGGAGGCTGGTGGGGCGAAAGATGAGCTAACAAGATGATTCACTTCCCTCCAATGGTGCCAGCAAGCTGTTGCCATTACATTAAATTACTTTGGGAAGTGCTTGTGTGCCACTAATGCAGTTCAATAAGAGAGGAAGGTGGGATTTGGTCTAAAAACTCAGATGGGGGAAGGATTGGCAAAATTTATATCCTCTTGGATGCTAATTTGTCCATTTATAGATGAGAACCTCACAAAACAAAATGCATATTTGACAACCATGTTCACTGAACGATTCTATTTTGCTGCCATTTTGTTTTGTGTGTCACTCTACTCTGCTGAGGACCGCATATGTGATTTCAATATGCTGAGGGCTTGGATGGATTTCAAATGCTGCAACAAAACTATAACTCAGACCTCAACAGACCTCATAGGAAAAGCAGCAGGAGCTCCATTTCACCACACCACTCTTTGAAATAGCACCCGGGATCTGATGCATTAGCTCACATCCTGGGAGCGTCAAAGCGGGAACAAAAACCTAGACATCTAAAAGAGACGAGAAGAAAGAGAAGAAACACATAGATCGTACCAAGTGGTAAAATGCGGCCTGAAAAACAAAGATAAAAACACCATTTTAACGGCAAATATTTTGACTTGTCAAACACATGTGTAACTGACAACATCATGAATTGCATTGCAGCGCAATGTCTGCTGTGAGAAAAGATTCAAGGAATTGGATTCATTTGGGATCAATAAAGAAAAGACAGTGTTGTGGAAATTACAGCAAAATCATCACAATTAATTCCCTTCCTGTGGCAGCGCTATTGGATACGTCATACAATGCATTATATTAGTGAGTAAAAAAACATACACTTGCAGCAGCCTTCAATCAAAATAAAGGTCTCAGACCAAAAAGCAGTTGTACAAACGAAACTTTTACATCTTGAGCTATTGTAGAAGTCTCTATTTATCCTGCAGATTAATCCAGTGAACACTGTAGATAGGAATTGCAACTAAACTACGCAACCAATTTCTACCCCATAAGTCACTGATGAATATGTTATGAAAAATCAAATAAAATTGGTTAAACAAAGTGGTTCTCTTTCAGGATGGATCTTAAGTACAAATATGTTTTGTTCCCCTTGCTTGCTCACTACTCAAAAATGTCTGTGTTCTGCGAAAACAGCTGAATCTAATTTATTTTGTCAACCAATGATGTGTTTTCTTACTTAAACAGTAAAATGAAATCATTTATTGATGCACTGACTAATTGTTTATAAGATAAGATAGACTTTGTTAATCCCACAATACACTTTCCACAACACTATGACTATCAAGATTCAAGAAGGAGGTCCTTGTGTCTTAACACCTCTGGAAGTTTGAGCATTGTTTGACTTAGAAACTGAGTCTATGAATCATTCATGTTGTGAATAATGTAATTTCAATTTGAGCTTGTCTCCTTTTCTTACTAGTTTACTTTCTATCTGATAGATATACCTCAGACCTCTGCAGAAAACACACAGGTGTAAGTAATGACATTAATTATGGCGTTGTTCCATTTTGAAATACCAGTAAGCCAGCATGCCAGTATCAGGGATCTGGCATGGCTAAATGTAATGCAGCCATCATGAATGTTATTACTTACACCCGCACTTGAGAAGCCAATGTTTCTGCAGTGAAAAAAAGTTAATAAATATTTGTGTCAATAGACCATTTATTTCTCATGTCTAATTATGAAATAGTCTTCTGACACTCATAAACACTGAAACAGTGTAAGACAATGCACCCTTATTTTGGTGTGAGGAGTATGTCAAGCATTGTTGTTAATTCAAAACACAATACCACTGAATAGCTGTCAAGTCCACCTACTTCACTGGTGCTTCTGTGAAAATGCCACCCCAGAGAAGAGCACAAATTAGATGAAATAGTTTTCACATCCATGCAACAAAAGGCTCGGGCCTACTATAGTTTGGCAGGTAAACTGAAGTGCACTGAAGTGGCTGCTGGCCTGGATCTTACCTCTGTGTATGAATCGTTTTATGCTTCAGTGTTGATGCTTGGTCGGATAATTTACATTACAACAGCAAATCAACAGTGATGCTATGATGCTAGAGTTAGCCCTGTCTCTGTTTACACTCCTTTGCAGTTACTTACGAGGAGAGCAAATTTACAAAAATGTAAATGGGCTACTTGGGAACATAATTACAAAATGTTCTGATATTATGAAATTGATAAACTGCTCTTTAGAGTTATCATTTGCAACCTGTTTGCAACCGGTAATTCACACCTTGTGATTTATGAGTCAAGTGTAGGAGGAGGAGCTGATTAATAAAAGGTGCAACCACAGTTTTCAGATTGATTCCTTTTTTTCATCCTTCTCTCTGGTGGAAACAGTGCCACTGAATTTGAAAAATGCCTAAAATCAGATGTGGAATAGGCTAAGCACATTTACTCAAGTACTGTAGGCTATTTCTGAGGTACTTGAGCATTTTTATTTAATGCTACTTCATACTTCTATTCCACTACAACGAGGGAAATATTGTACTTTTTGTTCAAATTTATTTGACAGTTTTAGTTACTAGTTACTATGCAGATTCAGATTTTAATACAAATTGTAAATCAACTAATAGGCCTATTATAATTCATTTTAATGGATTAAACTACCTGAAAGTAAGCCTATCAATGCAATTCAATCTTGATTGGCCTATATAAAGTAGCTGAAATTAGCTCGACCTTAACCAGCTGCGGCATTAGTTAACATCACTAATTATTCAGAAATGGGCCATTCTGCATAATGAGTACTTTTGGTACTTTAATATTGTATACTTTTACTTATTTGAATGCAGGACTTTTACTTTGTAACAGAGTGTTTCTACACGGTGGTATTGCAACTTTTATTAAAGTGAAAGATCTGAATACTTCTTCCATCACTGCCTCAAATGTAGACCACACGGACAGCCGTGTTGTGGCAACACGAAGAGGCGGCGTCCCTGGCAGCCATGACACTTCTCGCGAGAAGTAAGAACTTTGAAGTTGCAAAGTTTTGTTTAGCTAATTAAGTGTGGAATTTATTTGCTTACAAATGCTAGACGAGTGTCATGGCGATTATACACATCTGCACATTGCTTCACGTGACTTTGTTTCAGCAAGAAAGGAGAAATGTGACTTCCGCATCCGTTTAGTCCGGTTTCGCGGGTCAGCACGAAAAAGCTATCGTTGTACTTACGGAAAGATGTCAACCTACGAGCCATTCCCTATGGCCATTACGCACATTTTCTGTAAACTTATGGCAATGTTAATTCGCGGTCTTAAAATATAGTATAACAATCGGTTATTCGTGTTTCGTGTTGTCAAGGCAGAATATTAAAATCACCACACTGCGACATCCAGACAACAAGCATGTCTCTGCTGTCCGTGGTTGAGCGAGCTATCGAGACGTCCAAAGCTGAACAAGCTGAGATAAATGCCAGTATTCAACTCTACAGAGACATATTGCAGACCTTGTAAGTACTGAAACGTTACATCTGAGTCCTCATTAACAACACTGTCTGTGCTCACGATTTCACTTGTTAAAATAAACTAACTACATTGCAACTAGCTACAAAACAATGACATCAAAATGTTATGTTTCATAACGTTAAGTTGTATGTGCATGCAAAACACATAAGAGATGCAAATGTTTGAGCTTCTTTTCTCTCAGCCCTAGTTTGTGTGTCTCACGTGTATTAAACCTGTAATGTGTTTGGTATTCTCGATTACATAAGTTGAACATCTTTGGCGTGGTGCCACCATCCGGCGCTGTGGCTTAGTTGGTTAAAGCGCCTGTCTAGTAAACAGGAGATCCTGGGTTCGAATCCCAGCAGTGCCTTTTTTTCAGAAAGTCAAAAATTGCGCTTTCGCCACTGTAAAGACATGCGAGATATACAGAGGTAGACAGATTTGTTGTCAACTGTACCTCTTGTCAAAAATGCCATGTCAAAATCTTATATATTGTTGTCCAAACAGTAATTGGGGTAATATTTGTCACTGATGCATCTACCAGAGACCACTGACAAGATTTTAAGATTTTATAATCTCCAGCTCAGTACTTACTGAATCGTGTTCACAGGTCAAATGAAACTAATTAGTGTCTGCCAATATCTTTTTACATAGGACTTTAAAGAAAATCCACAATCATTTGGGATCCATGGTAAACTGCATATATCTAGTTAGTAAAATTAAAATTCTATTAAGAGAAAAGTCAAAGAAAAACCTGCAACTTTCTTATGTGAAGGCACCATTAATGCTGAATGATATTTACATCTTTTTGGAGCAATATATGCTCCAATGTAAAGTAGGTAGTAAAGTAGACAATGTCTTTTTCAGCAAGAGAATGCCAAATCACCTTTTGCACATATTACAACTGCATGGCTCCGTAGCAAAAGAGTCTGGCTGCTGAACTGGCCTGCAGTCCCGACTTGTCCCCCATTGAAAAAGTTTGGTGCATTATGAAACGTAAAATACGTCAAGGAGACCCCTAACTGTTGAGCAGCTGAAATCCTACATTAAGCAAGGAGAATGGGAAAACGTTCCACTTCCAAGATTACTGCAGTTAGTCTCATCAGTTCATCATCAAGTGCTGACAGAGTGCTGTTAAAAGAAGAGCTGATGCAAAAGAGTGGTAAACAAGACCCTGTCCCAACTTTTTTGAAACGTGTTGCTGGCATCAAATTCAAAATCATTTTCCAAAAACAATAAAAAAATTTCACTTTCAACATTTGATAAGTTGTCTTTTTCAATTAAATATGGCGTTTTAGTGTAATCCACCTCATCACATTTTGTTTTATTTACATTTTACACAGTGTGCCAACCTTTTGGGAAACGGGGTAGTGATTGTGATCCTCTTGGTCAATTTGAGTGTGAAGTGAGTGACACAGTCTTTTCCCGCAGAACACCACAACCAAAGACTGTCTTTGAGGAGTCAGAATGTGCAGATGATCCTGCTGCAGGTAATTAAAGGAATGCATTTGTTATTTGTTGTTAATTCTTGTTAATAGAGAGACGGAACGCAATCATGTGCAATATTATGACTGTGCCTCTTTTAAATAGTCACACACATCTCTATACTCTGTGTACTATATGTGAATGTTGTAAATTCATTTGGAGTGTTCTTAAATTCTTACATAGTAACTACTCTGTGCTGCAGTTTAGTTCTGGTCTCGCTTGTAAAGGAGGCCATATATCTAAAGAGAATTTCAGGTTAAATAAAGGTTAAATAGTAAAATAACTAATCTGTAACCACATGTTTGCATGCTGCTATCTTCAGACACCGATACCTCACCAGGGGAGAAAGAAGATATAGAATTGCTTGAGCGAGCCCTTGAGAAAGCCCTTCGGATCCGCACTGGGACAGGAGTTTCTAAAAAAGACCATGACAGAAACAAAAAATCTGCACCTCAAAAGGAACCAGCCACTACAGTCGTTGAATTCAAAGAGGGAATGCAGGCATCTGCTTCTAAAGCAAATCAGACCACAAAGAGATCAACCTCTAAATCTGCCGGTATTGACAAAAAAGAGCACAAAAAGCCTGGTGCGTCAGTATCCTCCATGCTGGGCCCAAAATCTGCAGCTGGCTACCATTCAGAACAGAGCAAAACCATAATTAATAGAAACATAAGTGGCAAAGCTGCAGCTTTCTCCACACCTTCTTTAAATAACACAGTCCCTGTTTCACATTCCGAGGTGTCTGGAGTTCACAGTGTACCTCGCAAGAATGGGTATGTTTTTACACAACTGGGCCTTGAAGATAACCATACTCTTGTCAGTCAACATTTATTTTCTGTGCTATTATACTCCATTCTGTTTGCTCTACTTCATGGCAGGGTAGCTTCTGATCAAACAGCAAAATGGAAATCTCTAAGGAGCAAGCAAAACAGGTGGCTGATAATCTTGTGATTTTTTTTTTTTCCAAATGACTAAGCAATATCTTTTTGGGCATTAAGTTTCCTTTTCATCTGCGTTATCTTTAGGTTATGGGAAAAAGTTGTTGCCCTACAAAGGAAACCTGTGCCTGGGAGGAGTCACTTCATGGAGAGAATGAGAGCTACGGTATCCTTCCTTTTTTTTCTTTTTTTTTCTTTTTTTTTTCTAGTGACGCTCGTCAAAATAGGCCGGGAAGTCTCTGACATGTTTTCTGTGTTGCATAATGTTGAGTTTGGATATATACTCTAGTGTCCCAGTTTAGTTAGATAAAATTCCACTTATTGCTAATGCCAAGAAAGAATTATTTCTGAACACCAAGCACACTGTCCTTGACCACATCTTTCTGGCCCCTCTAGTTCCCCAAGGATTGGCCTTGTGGCAGCCCTGATAAGACCAGGGCTCTGGTCGACAGACTGACTCGCCAAGGGCGTGACCTCACCCAGCACTACCAGATGAAGGAGCTTCTGGCCAAACAGACCCCAGAAGCAGCCACACAGCTGGGTAGGAGCCTGAACTACAATTATACACATGCCAATGCCTAAATTAGCTGTGGAGAAATAAAGGAGGTTGGTACAAGTGTGTGGGGGAGAGAAAATTATAATTTGGGAGAGAACTGCACAGGGAATTGGCAGGAAGTGTCTTTCTGAGAAATGTTTAGACTAATATATCAGTGTTGAGCCTTTCCTCTGCCAGTAATGCTCAACGTGAGGCTAATTAACGCAGTGCAATTAAACCTAACATCGCTACTAGCTCCTGTAATAATGTTGCCAGTGAAATTCAGTTTTGCTGTGCATTTCTACACAGTGGGTAAGGAAAACAAGCATGATTCCTGTCTGACACTTGAAAGGCTGCAGATGACAGCAGCAGTGCTCCACGACTTTGCAGACCGAGTGACAAAAGGTAGGAAATAATTCAGTTTTACTGTAACTTTTCAAACCAGGCGTTCCCTCTTAAAAGAATCACATGTCAACCTGACTTTGGTTATATGAAAATTTGAGTGAACAACTTATTCCACAGCACAGACCTTCATAATAAAGAACATTGGGGGGGAATCATGAACCCGTGTTTGAATCTGATTCCCCCAGCTGTGTTTGAATTAACAGGTCTTGGTGTCAGGGTGTCAGTCACTCAGTGCCTACCGTATGTAACATGGTGTCATTTCCATTACATCTCCAGTGATACAATTAAAATGAAGCCGAATAGCCAAAGATTTTCCATTCACACCACTCAAATGACCGTATCACCTTCGGTTTACCAGTTACAGCTCCAGTGCAGCACAAGTATGTTGCTAAAGCCAGCATGTGAGGGAAGTTTCCAGTCATTTCTACCTCGCTGCTTAGCCCACACGCTTCCATCTGGTATTGTGACCATATGCATCCAATTTTGCTTCTCGCATCCACAGGTCAATACGTGTTGTATTTCAGAGTGTTTTATTTTCCAGAGAGGGATCTACCGTTTATTGCATTTTAACAGCATTTGAAAAATGATTGTGATGAATGTGGCGTGCTAACGAGCTAATGCAGCCGCTCCATCTTGGTGTATGGAAAATGAAAACAGAGCCGCAGTGAAACCTCAGTGCCAGCTCAGTTCTTTCCTTGGCCTCGACAGATCCCTCTCCCTGTGACGGTGGGGTTTTTAAAGCCGTCTATCCTGACGTAGCTAGGCGAGGGCCTAGTTATTTAAAGCTGAGGCAGCAGAGCAGAAAAACGTTTCAGGGTACGGTTGCTCACGCTCATGCTCTAAAAATAACCGTATTTTCCATCAGAGTGGGAAGCATGGGATCGATGGAGGCCAGAGGGAGGTTGTCTTTGCCCGACTGGGGCAAATGGTGTGTGTGGAGATGGGCTGATTACACCCCTGCCCCTTACTATAACCTACACAACAGAGGCAGAGCTCCGGGAGCTAGAGAAGCTGAGGATGAGGGTGGCACTGCTACAGCAGGAGATTTACCTAGAGCAGGTAAGAGTAAATCAGTTCATCAGATACCTAATTGTGCTAATTGATCAGACTGTGTGCTCTGTTGTGTAGCAATCGGTAACTACTGAGAAAGAATGTGCTGACAGTCTTTTCTTCTATGTCTCAGGCTCTGTTGGACACACTGTCCCCTCAGCTATCGTCCATAGTACCTGGGCCTGGATGTCCCAGTGTTGGTGTGCTGAGAGACATGTACTCCCTGCTGGGGGAAGGAGGGGAGCGTTTCCCTGCCATCGTCCTGGACACTGAGCCTGACTGACTACAGAGCATATTTCACTGAGTTTCCAGTTTATAAAGTATTCTGTCCACCTCCATTTACACACATAAAATAAATAAAATATTAGAAAGACCTCTCAGTATAATGCAATCCAGTGAAACACCAGCTGACTCATATGCTTCTGACACTGTCAATAAAAGTAGAACATTATGAAGTTCACAAAAACAAGATTAATTGAAGGACCATTGTATGGAATTGCTTTAGGTTTACCTAATAAACTGGTAAGTCGGATTGTGAACTATCTGTTTTGTTAGTGTGCTCTGCCTATGTGATTTATTCAGTGTCTGATGCCAAGTAATAACTTGAATGACAAAAAAGGAAAAAAAGAGTGTGATTGTTTATCATTTTTCTTTAATGTTGTTTCTGATTGTGAAGTGCTATAGTTACTATTTTGTCGCTGTCCTATGAAACTCTTTCCAAAAACGCCAGCTTTTGAGCTAAAAAAAAGCCCTATTATCAGCATTCTTTCAAATAATCCAGTGGGGTTTTAAGTGGTTTATATAGCTTTAGAAGCAGGAGAATGTTCTCAGCCTATAAAGGAGCACTTAACCCTCCAGTTTATTTGAATGTTCCAACCACCAAATTTGGAGACACATGGTTTTCACTATCAAGCAATGATTTATAAATGTTGACATAAATCTGTATAATATCACATTTACTACATGATATCAGCATGTAGAAAATTCATTTCACATTCTGGATATTCCAGTTGGTCTACTCAAACTTTTATTTGAACACCTTTGGTTTTATTTTTCTTATAATTCAGTGCTATCTTCATGTTTAAATTGCGTTCTAATTGAAATTTTTGTTGTTTAATTGAACTTCATAAGAATTAACAATTACAATAATGTGAAATGGAAGTCAGTAATTGAGCTCTGACTATACCAGCAGGTGGCACTCAATTCACAGAAGAAGTGACCATTGAACACAATAGCAGGTGATTAATGCTCACTTTAGTTACTACTGTTGCATCAAAAGCGATCATTAAATTGTTGGATTAAATTTGTGACGTAAAATTATGTGGGGAAATAAGAGTATACGAACAAGTAATGGTTACTAATTGGTGTGTTGCGTGACTGTTGGCCTGCTTGTCTGTGGATTTAAATGATGTAAAGGAACAATGGAGGTGTTTCATCCCATTTTAGCACTGTCTTTCACTGAAAGCAGCGGGGATGCTGTGTTTTCAGACTCATCCTCCATGTGTTCCAGTGTCTTCCTACTGTCTGGCAAATCAAAGTTTCTGAGGAGCTCACAGTGAGAATGATTGTGCTTGTTAGCCATGAGACGTGTCAGTTCGTTGTGCAGTGTCGACTATGACCTAGAATAAGCATGAGTAAGTAGTGAAACAAGGTAAAACCCCATACTCTACCATAGTGTTTGATTTCCATGCTGGGCTTTTTTTTACTTTTAGATAACACATATGGGGCCAATACTATGCCTCTCTGATCTGAGAAAATTCCTCCCTCTAATGTGATGTGAGGGTGTATGTGAGATACAGGAGGGCTTGGAGAGGCCTTAAAGGCTCGTGCCCACACATGACGTATGCCTGGCACTGACCGTGCCAGACTGGGCGACAGGTGGCGCTCGGTTCATACAGCAGGGCGTGGGTGTTTGAGCCCTACTGCACCAACCCTCGTACACACAAACGCAGGGACGCGCACACTCAAAGTCGGCTGAGTCACGAAGACCCTGAGGGGCCTGGCTCTCTGCATGCGGCAAGCTGGAAATGGCATATCTACCCTGAGGAGAGAGCGCTATTACAGTTTCACATTGTCTCTGTATTGAAAACGACAGGAGCGCAATGACTGAAGCAACTGCTCCTGGCTTTAATCAGACAAACACTCAAATTTTCACAAGGTCGTCTCTGTTCTACCACCAGAAGTGTCTCAACCCGTGTGGATTTCAGCCGAGTCTTCTGTGTGGGACTGTAGTAATGTCTTGGATCAGTGTGTGTGAAGGGAGTAAAGGAGGAGGCAGGGAAGCATCCTTGAGATCATGTCAACACTACACAAAGGTCCCAGAGGGAGTGGCGCCTACGCAACTCAGCCTTCCTGTGACCTGCATAGATCAGCTGCTGCCTTGCTCTGGCTCTGGTTATCACCAGTAGAGCTATTCCACCCCCATAAACATGGCCTGGCCCTGCCCAGGTTACCCATGTCTCACGCCTTTGTAGCATTTTTCTCACGCCTCTTTTTGTCACATAATGGAAGATCCGAGGAAATTTTACTTTCCGTAGAGAAGCGTCATTTTCTTTCCCATGTCACACACACTCACACAGAGACGGACAGGGTTGAATAGACTTTTCTTTGTCGTCCACATTCCTTCCTACTTGTTAACTTTTTTTTCACCCTTTTCATTTTCACGATTTCTTCTTTTTTTTTTTTAGCCTTAGTCCACTGTGGTGCTGGAGTCCAAGTACAAATCCACAGAAACCGAACAGTGCTACCAAGAATCCACTTCTCTCCTTCAAATGCCCACTGCTATTGAACCTCTCTTTTCTCTTGCACCCCGCCCCTCACAAACACATTCCTCACTTCCCGTCTTTTACTCTTATTTTGCTCAGCTCTGTTGCCGATTGAGCTACAGCAGAGACCGTTAAGTCAGTGTGGTCATCAATTAGGTTGCATTAGGGTTTATTATTTCATTTCACCTACCATTCAAAGCCAGCTTCCTCCGTCAAGTGGAATTTTTCTGGCATGGCAAAGAGTACAGCGTCTAAACTAAGGAGCAGTTGTCCCGTGCAGACAGAGACATGTTTGGCATTTATACGAGAATGTTAGGTATCTTTTAATCTGAGAATATGTGCCTTGTGGGCATTTAAGAGCAAGAATCCTTTGATCTAATTATGAGGAGGAAACCTGAAGTCATGTTAGTGTTTTAGATATGCATATATATGTTTTGTAACTCAAAATTAAATCTTATTGGTTGCGGTGCTGTCCCTCACCCACGTCTGTGCTCTTTAGATGATCTTTGATGCCCGCAAAGTTTCAAGAGACGTAGGAGCTATAGTGAGGTCAAATAATTTTCTGGGACACAGCTTTTATGAATATCAAAGAGGCCTGTTGTCGCTTGAAAACACTGTTTGCTGTAATTGTGACTCATTTCAGCTGTTCAGGAAGAAAAAAATAAGAGAAAATGTCGCCATAGTAAATCCAGCAATTCCTGAAGATAAAAATATAGACATTCAGCGGTGGACCCACATTTATTCTTCCCTAGCGTAGCTTTACAGATGCGGAGGAGTGAGATTAGCAAATTGAGGAGAGGAGAGCTGTTTGGATTGATTTTCTTTCCGTGGCAGAGAGAGGTGAGCGTACTGGGTGACTAACTACTACTAGGTTGCCTTCCATTCAGAAAGGACTGGCACCAGCAGTGTGTGTGGGTGGGCAAGGAGTGGGGGCTGTTTTCCTTGGAAGTGTTATTCTGTCACGTGTGGGCATCCTCATTAGGCTATGGACACTTTCATTATAGAGGCACTGAATATTTGATGTCCTACAAATCAGTGTGTTCAGGTGTCTGCATGCACATAAAAGGGGGAGTGTGTGGGTGGTCGCAGGATTTCTGTTTGCTGTTAATGTCCACGCAAGAATTGGTTTGGTGCAAAGGGAACACGGTTACTGTATGATTGCAATATGGAGGTGATGCATCTGTGTGCTCCATTCCCCATCAAATATACATAAAAAGTAGCTTTCCAGTCTGAGATGATGAGGGATTCCCCTTTCTCCTCTGTTTTCCAGTCAACAGTAGGCTTCTGTGTTCCCCAGGGGAGACTTTTGTACTGCAGGGAAACAAAAAATAAAAAGACTGCAATTGACAGTAGGCAGTGATGGGGAGATGAAGAAAAGAGGGAGCAGTTAACTCTTCTCCCCTCCCCCTTCATGTGCTTCGTCAACCCCTATTCTCCCTGCTTCAGTGTTTGACGTCACACAAAGGAAGACCAATCAGAGCACTTGGACTTCCCTGTTTTCCCTCCCGAGGTCCTCCCCTTCCACAGTCTCTTATAAATCCCCCGCCACTACATTTCAGTAGAGTGTACAATGTGCTGCCGGAGAGCCTGCAGGCAGTGTAAAGAGAAACAGCCAGAGAAGGGGAAAGTGTGAGTGGATTTCAGCACTGACTTAGAAGCCTTCATCTGACACGCTCCAGCTATTCCTGCTCCAGTTATTTCTGCGGTCTCATATAGACCACCTCCTCCTTTTTCTCTTTTTCTGCCTTTCTCTCTTTCTGTTTATCCAGGCTTGAGCTGAGTACGAACAGGATTCAAGAGGCCAACGCTGCAGCCTGGTTTCAGGATCCACCAGCCCACACCATCAGGATGGGTGGTACAACGGGCCACCTAGCTTGCCAAACCCAGCCACAGACCAACTCAGGGCAGGAGGGTCAGTCCCTGGAGGCTGGTGGTGCTAAAGTCCCTGAGGTGCTCTCCTCTCTGGAGCGTCTGTCGCAGGCCACCGGAGGCATGGAGAAGTCCTGGTACCGCTGCATCTTTCCATTTGGAATCATCTCTTTGGTGATCGGTGTAGCGGGAACGGGGGTTACTTACACCTATAATGACTTGCCTCAGACTAAAGTGGTGTCAGTGGTGCTGCTTGTCATGGGTTTTTTGCTGTTGCTGATGGCCACTGCCTGTTGGACTGTCCACAAGAAAAAGAGAAGGAAAAAGAAAGAGGGAGGCTCGTTCACTTCTGAGCAGTGTCCCTTGTGAAGCACATGGGGAAAGCAGTGGTAGGGACTCGAAATCAAGCTCAAGGTTTGGCTAAAGAAGCCGCCACTTCACCTCCTCTCAGCGCCAAATCCCCTCTATTCTTTATCACAGAGTTTGGCTCAGCTCATGCCATAGAGAACTTGGGCTGAAGATTCATATAGAGTGGAAAGACAGATAGACGGGACACTGAGGATCTGTTTAGTCTGGAAAGTTTGGACCATTTTGTATTGGCAAGGAGGGATCACCGAAGCTCTTTTATCGTCAGACAGCAGGTGTCCAATGTCAAAACAACCTCAGAGGAGACACAAATATGCACTGCACACCGCATGCATATTTACATGCACATGATACATAGCCCTCGAAATCCTCACTCACATATACATTAGCAGTCACAGTGGGAGCTCGCGCAGACACCTAAAACGCTATGCGGAGTTGCTGCTGGAGTCAGTGCTGCCGTCACTAGGCACGTCAGTCACAGCATTCTTCCTGCCAGGACAGGTGACACTCCAAGAGGCCAGAAGTGGGCCAAAGACGGCAAC